AGGCAGGCAGGCTGGCTGGCTGGTTGGCTGGCTGGGCTGGGCTGGGCTGGGCTGGGCTGGGCTGGGCTGAGCTGAGCTGAGCTGGGCTGGGCTGAGCTGGGCTGGGCTGGGCTGGCTTGGCTAGCAATTCACCCACCCAGCCAGCCACCCACCCACCCACCCACCCACCCACCCAGCCAGCCAGCCAGCCACGCAGCCAGCCACCCAGCCAGGTTTCATACACCTTCCCCAATAATTTATTTATATGTCTTTAACCCTCAAACCGCGCATATCATATATAAATGATATCAGTGACAAAACCGAAACCGCGCACATCATTTATATATGATTTCGTGTCTAGCAATATAATTTAAACTCCCCGCCTGGGATAGGGGCAGCTATAGTACAGCCACGACCGATAGTTGCCAGATGCCACCTAGAAAAAAAATCCAGGCCAACATTCTTGGGTGTTACAGCTCAGTATTGAGCAAGCCACCAAGGCTGGCGCACGCAGCACGAGCTCACAGCACCGCTGTTCAGCTTGTGACCACAGCATCGCCTACAAATACCATAATATATATGATACTGCTATTATTTAGCAGTGATAGTATTACTGAAGCCCCCCTGACTGTGATAAAACTGACCAGAATTCTGATAATAGCAGGATTGTGGTGATATTTAGCGCTGTGCTCCATGGAGGGAGGCGTAAGGTTGTGGGAGGGAGGGTTGTGGCGTCGTCTTCTGACTGTGTGTGGCCACCATTTATTGACTGCACTCACCATACCAGCTGAGTGGTTCGATATGGTGAACACAAATGTAGATACTTATATATAATGTGTGTATATAGGGTATAAACAGCAAGAGGAGTAGGTTGGGAGCCGCCATTTTGGTGAGGGCGGTGGCGTCGTCTGCACGACTTATCATGTTGTTTACTGGTGACCACAATAGTCTTTGGGCACCATACCAGCTTATTTGTTCAGGTATGGTGAATAAAACAGGTAGATACTTATATATAATATGTGTATATAGCGTAATAACACCACAAACAGTATTGTTGAAGGACAAATATTAGTGCGTCTGGCCTTGAGGGCGGCCGCCGATCAGCGGACTGTGTGAGTAGCTACGTCTTTGTGACCTTTACTCACCATACAAGCTTAGATGTACAGTTATGGTGAACAAAACATGTAAATACGTATATATAACGTCTGTGTATAGTGAATAAATACAGAAAGAGTATTGTAGGAGGTGAATGAGGGTGAGTGAGGTGGTGTTGAGGGAGGGAGTGGCAGTGAGTGGCTCGCTGGTGTTTGGCGGTCACTCCTCGTCACACAAGGTACAGAGCAGAGGACAGACATCAGGAGCCAGAGCCACAATGACCAATGCCATTCACATCAGCCAAAGAACTGAAGGTGTGGGTGGGTCTGGGGCTCCCACTTCCCTTCCCCTTATGGGGAGGAGGGAGCTGCGCAGACAGTGGCGTGGCAAGTGGTGACGTCATGCTCATTTTCTTTTTTTCTTTGGGGAGTTCTGTCCACTCATTTCACTTTTAGTTGTAGTTTCAACCAGAATAGGGGGTTTGTTTTGGGTGGCTGACCCGGTCAATGGCAGACATAGAATGCTCCAAATCACATGTGCAATTCTATAGGCCATTGCTCTTCATACCTCTCTGAGGGGTGCCAGGTTATGGCTCATGGTCCCAGGTAGGCTTATGAACTCCATTCACACTGATACCAAAGTCTAATAATATTTATATCAGCCTGGATAGCTCCGGGGAGCCGAAGGGCCTCCTCCAGAAAATTTCTTAGTCCATCTCACAGATTTTCTTATGCACTCGACAGCACCAATCATAATGTCACATTTAGCTACTAAGCTCATATTTATATTGTAGTCTATGACAATTAGGTTTATACATTTTCACATGTGTTGCAAAGTTCACTTTGTCACTATCCACCAATACACCTTTGTGTATTGTCCACCAATACACCTTTGTGAATAGTTGTCAATATATTCACCTCGCATCTGTCCTTCCAGTGCACAGATTACATTTTATCACACTTTCTTAGCTGGCATTTCTCTCCTGTGCGGCTTGACAGTATCACAGATGCCAGTATCATATTCAAGGAGAAACCTGGTCAGCAAGAGGCTGGTATAGTAATTGTTAAGTACAGGATATGCCCCTTGTTCAGCAATGTTTCCATGAGTGTTTTCATGACACACTCAAAGGACCCTTGTGGATCTTGAGCTGGTATGTCAACGTCTGTACCAGAATATAATATTGTATCCATGACCATTCAAATTTCAGTCACATGACATGAAAAACTTTTGTCCAAACCTGTGTTGCTTTGATGGGATGTACTGTTTGAATGCTAATTGTCCCTTGAAGAGAACTGACAATTCACCAATCACAACATTCTGTCCAGGTACAAGATAGTCACAGAACTTTCTCTCACTTCATTAATATTTTTCGCACCTTCCACAGTCTATCGTGTCTGTTATCATTGTTCTCGACGTGTAGGCATCTGAGAAGCGTCAGACCCTATCACGTGACGTGGTATATTCTGAACAAGGGGGGATGGAACAAGGGTGTCTTTGTTCCAATAATCCTGGATTACTTGTTTTTCTGTATGTTTCATCATGCACAATGCTAAAATTACATTCTTCAATAGTCGTGTCTTTCGAATGTATCATTCGGAAGGTAGGTAAAGTTCCTGATGTAATGAGTTGTACTGCATATAAGTTTGTCTCTGCAACAAGATGCTGCATGAATAGCTCATTGAATTATATTCAATGCCCGAATTATTATAATTATAAAATTCTAAGTATAATTTTAATTATAGTACAGTGGCACCTCGACTTACGATTGCCCTGACTTACGATAATTTCGAGTTACGATGTAAATTTCATCGAAAAGTGCGACTCGACATACGATGGTGTCGTCGACTAATGATATTTGTTGGTACACGTTTGGGTCGACCAAGTGCCTGGTTCCCGGTCACGCGGCGGACCTGCCTCAGTTTACTACAGCTGCCCGCATAGTGACGATCACGCCTATAAGAAATTCCATTTTTGTGGTGATTTTTTGCATTTTGAACATTAAAGTAATTATTTTATATCACGCCATGAGTCCCAGGAAAGTCAGTGGTAAGGCTCAACATACGAAAACCCATATAAGGATGACCATAGAGCAGAAACAAGAGATCATTCGTAAATATGAAGATGGTGTGATGAAGATGATACTAGCTAGGCAGTACAATAAATCTCAGTCAAGGATATCCACCATACTGGCTAAGAAAAAGGACATTATGAGTGCTAAAGTGGCAAAAGGCGTATCAATAATCACGAAACATAGAACACAAACACTTGAGGATGTTGACCAATTATTATTAATTTGGATACACAGCAAAGAGTTAGCAGGTGATACAGTTTCAGAGGCCATCATTTGTGAAAAGGCAAGAAAATTGCATGAAGACCTTTTAAAGAAAACCCCTGGAAGAAGTGATGCAAATGCAAAAGAGTTTAAGGCGAGCAGGGGAATGGTTTGAGAAATTTAGAAAAAGAAGTGGCATTCATAGTGTTCCAAGTGTTGTGTGTTGCGAGCTGGTGGAGGAACACAGCGAAGAACTTCACAAGGAGCAGCAACAAGAGACAGCTGAAGAAATTTCTTCAGGGGAGGAGGAGACAGCACAGAATGTCCCTTCCTCATTAATTAAGAAAATGTGTGCAGCATGGGAAGATTTGCAAACTTTTGCTGAAATGACTCACTCAAATCACGGTGCAGTAGGCCGTTGCCTTAACCTTTTTAATGACACTGTGATGCATCACTACAGACAAAAATTAAAACATGGAAAAACAAAAATCTCTGGAAAGATTTTTAGTGACACAAACAAGCAGTGAACCACAACCAGGTCCTAGTGGTATGCAGGCAAAATGTAAGAGAGAGTGTACCCCAGAAAAGTCATCACTGCCTGATGTGATAATGGAAGGGGACTCCCCTTCCAAACAGTAACACCTCTCCTCCTTCCTCCTCATCACCATCTTCCATATGCCATTAAGAGACCTCCATAAAGGTAAGATAAATTTATGTCCTGTATTGTAGTTAGAAAAAAACATTGTATTCAGTATAAAATATATTTGTAAGTTAATATTTTGGAGGGTGGGGAACGAATTAATTCAATTCCCCTTATTTCTTGTGGGAAAAATCGCTTCGACTTACGATATTTCGACTTACAATCCATCTCTGGGAACGGATTACCATTGTAAGTCGAGGCCCCATTGTATATAATTATTTATAATTAAATTATAATAATAATAAGTATTAATTAAATTAATTAATTAAATAATTAATTAAATTATAATTATATAGTATATAGGCAGTATAATTCAATTATACTGCTCGAAACGCTTTGCATAATAGTGGCTTTAGGTATTGTATGTACTAGCTCTATCTATAAACTCATCAATATTTGTATCACATCTTGTATGTATGTACTTTACCTGAATAAACATTTGAATTTGAATTAGGCCATAAAATAAACTATTTCAGGCATATTATCACCAGTGTGGGGGAATGTGGGTATCACACCAACATTGGTATTATCAAATGTTGGTATAAGTGGGACAAAATTGTCATAATCCTCCCACATGAGTATACCCGTGCTTGTTGTCTTAGTGCCAACACCACAGCCTACACCAGCATGAGCGCCACCAGCACGGGCACCAACAACACGGCTTTATCATCCTGTGCTAGAGCTGCGTGTGGTAGGAGATGGGGCTCTTTTGCATAGTATAGGCCTACCATGTACTTCTGAGTGTGAGGGCACACTGTTGTCGTTGTCCTTGGGCCTTGCAAGACGCTGGAGCTTGCTCGCCATGTGACTGAGGCAGCAAATCCTCATATCGGCCACCTCTATAGCCGCTTGCACTCGGTTCTGCAGCACTGCTTTTATCTGAGCCTATGGCACTGGACCCTGAAAACAACTCGTCACCTATATTGTATGAAATTTTTTAATATTTTATTTCAGAATGAAGAGTGTGCTCATATGGGTAGCCACAAATCAGCGGTCAGCAGCAACAGCAGCACACTTATTAATAACAGCAGCAGCAGCAATACATCCAATGGCATGATCTCGTGCATTGTTGGAGATGCTCGATCACTCACCCAAGCAGAGCTATCATCCCTCAGGCACATTCTGCCCCACACCTCTAGTAAGTATATTTTTTTATAGCCTAAGTTTAGAACTGCCTATATATACACACATGATAATACCTGTATATATTTGTAAGTAGGGAGAATTAACTCTTGTGGATGATCTCTTTTTAACCACTGCACTGCGCCAAACGACAAATACCTATCGCCGATTACTGCGTCAACCAACAGAAGTATTTTTTATTTTTTCGTACACGGTCGAAATGCACTTGCAGTAGGTTGGGTACAAAATGGACTCTTGGGACCTCCAGTGAGAGGCAGCCATCTTGGGAAAAAAATTCCCAGAATGTCCTGGGGCTGCTGACTGGGATAGTACTGAGAGAGCAACCATGGGTGGCGCACACGCCTCTGGCTCCCAGACACCTGTCCGAAGCGGTGTTGAAAGATCGCTCTCTGTTGGTGAAATTCAGACCTTATTGACTGAAGAGCATACAGGTCATGATATTGATGAAGCGAGGCGCAATAAGGACCTAACACAAAGGTCGGATGCAAGTGATACAGCACCTATTAGGACGCTACAATGAGCGTATCCAGTTGTAGCTCTGAGCGTCATCCCTGCCCACATATGCCATCTCCAATTTATATAGATGATAAATAGATGAATAATTTTCTGGGTTCAGAGATAATGCATCTGATACAAATAACACAGATGAACAGTGTTAGCAGCTTCCATGGTAGTGTTTTCCATTGATATTTTCAAGAATAGCTGAATCTCTTCTAGAATACCTGAATCTCTTCCAGATTGACTGACACTCTTCGAGAATGACTGAATCTCTTTCAGTGTGGGACCTTACAAAGCGATCTTTTCAAGACTACCTTACAAATTTATATTTTCCTGTAATCTTTTCAAGACTACTTTATGCTTTACAAGCTTGGCTACATACCACCTACAAGTACTAAAGCCAAGGGTGTATGTGAGTGCGTTATTTGCAAGCACACAGAACGAAGAAACAGGAAGCGAAAATCTATCTGTACCTGGTGCAACGAGAGTGAAGTCGCGCTGTGTACCACGGACTACTTCGTTGATGTTACTCACTTCCGAAGTACTGAGTAATTACCTAAGTGTAATTACCTAAGTGTAGTTACAGGATGAGAGCTACGCTCGTGTTGTCCCGTCTCCGCAGCGCTCTGTCATATAATGCTTTAAAATTACTGACGGTTTTGGCCTCTACCACCTTCTCACTTAACTTGTTCCAACCGTCTACCACTCTGTTTACAAAAGTGAATTTTCGTGTATTTCTCCGGCAGCTTTGTTTCATTAGTTTAAATCTATGACCTCTTGTTCTTGAAGTTCCGGGTCTCAGGAATTCTTCCCTATCAATTTTATCGATTCCTGTTACTATTTTGAACGAAGTGATCATATCGCCTCTTTTTCTTCTATCTTCTACTTTTTGCATATTTAACCCTCAAACCGCTAGGGGCCCAAATGGAATTCACACCCACATGCGCAAAAAAAAAAAAATTCCAAAAAATTCTTTCGTCTTATAGAAGTGTTCATTTTTGTTCCCTGATCACGGAAAAAATAACAAAAAAATCGTAGGTGGCATATTTTAGCCGCAATAGGGTAGAGAAGTGTGGCAAAAAAGGGGCGTTGGCAGAGCCTTCGCCAGACGAGGTCTACTCCGCCCGAGCTGTCAGGCGGCAGTTGTCACAAATATATTATTACCTAATTATTTCAATGTCTCTGATTGATTTTTTCTTAGTTTTTTTGCAGTAATATTATTCCATACAGTGAATTGTGGTATATTTATATTATAAAATGTGTGAACCATCGCTGTACTCAAAATTATGGTGTGCATATTAGTGATTCAATTATTATGTTCATAAAACAATAAACAAATAGTTTTGCTGTTGTTACACTATATACACAGGTTATATATAAGTATTTGCATGTTTTGTACACCATAACGAACTACTAAGTTGGTCTTGTGAGTCAAAAAGCAACGAGGAGTGAAACACCAAACACCAGCGAGCCACTCACTGCCACTCCCTCCCTCAACACCGCCTCACTCACCCTCATTCACCTCTCACAATACTCTTCTGTATTTATTCACTATACACAGACGTTATATATACGTATTTACATGTTTTGTTCACCATAACTGTACATCTAAGCTTGTATGGTGAGTGAAGGCCATAAGACAGTCATACTCACACAGTCAGCTGATCGGCGGCCGCCCTTAAGGCCAGACGCACTAATATTTGTCATCCAACAATATTGTTTGTGGTGTTATTACGCTATATACACACATTATATATAAGTATCTACCTTTTTTATTCACTATACCTGAACAAATAAGCTGGTATGGTGCCCAAAGACAATAGTGGCCATCAGTAAACACCATGCCAAGTCGTGCAGACGACGCTCCTCCCTCACCAAAATGGCGGCTCCCAACCTACTCCTCTCGCTGTTATCTCACACTATACACACATTATATATAAGTATCTACATTTGTGTTCACCATGGCGAACCACTAAGCTGGTATGGTGAGTGCAGTCAATAAATGGAGGCCACACACAGTCAGAAGACGACGCCACAACCCTCCCTCCCACAGCCTTACTCCTCCCTCCATGGAGCACAGCGCTAAATATCACCACAATCCTGCTATTATCAGAATCCTGGTCAGTTTTATCACAGTCAGGGGGCTTCAGTAATACTATCACTGCTAAATAATAGCAGTATCATTTATATTATGGTATTTGTAGGCGATGCTGTGGTCACAAGCTGAACAGCGGTGCTGTGAGCTCGTGCTGCGTGCGCCAGCCTTGGTGGCTTGCTCAATACTGACACTGTAACACCCAAGAATGTTGGCCTGGATTTTTTTTCTAGGTGGCATCTGGCAACTATCGGTCATGGCTGTACTATAGCTGCCCCTATCCCAGGCGGGGCATTTAAATTATAGCGCTAGACACGAAATCATGTATAAATGATGTGCGCGGTTTCAGTTTTGTCACTGATATCATTTATATATGATATGCGCGGTTTGAGGGTTAATGCCTCTAACCTCTCCTCGTAGCTCTTGTCCTTCAGTTCTGGGAGCCACTTAGTGGCATGTCGTTGCACCTTTTCCAGTTTGTTGATGTGCTTCTTAAGAAATGGGCACCATACAACCGTTGCATATTCCATCTTGGGTCTAATAAAAGTTGTGAACAATTTCTTTAGTATTTCTCCATCCATGTATTTAAAAGCAATTCTGAGGTTAGAAAGTGTAGCTTAAGCTCCTCCCACAATGTTCTTAATGTGGTCCTCAGGTGATAGTTTTCTATCTAGAACCACCCCTAGATCTCTTTCTTTGTCAGAATTCTTTAAAGATTTCTCACATAACTTATAGGTTGTGTGGGGTCTATGTTCTCCAATTCCACATTCCATAACATGGTATTTATTCACATTAAATTCCATTTGCCAAGTGTTGCTCCATATACTTATTTTGTCTAGGTCTTCTTGAAGGGCATGACAATCATCTAGGTTTCTTATTATCCCTATTTTGCATCATCAGCAAACATGTTCATGTAATTCTGTATTCCCACTGGTAGATCGTTTATGTAGACAGTGAACATTACCGATGCAAGAACTGAACCCTGTGGTACTCCACTCGTGACATTCCTCCAGTCCGATACCTTGCCTCTGATTACCGCCCTCATTTTTCTGTCAGTTAGGAAATTTTTCATCCATGTTATTAGCTGACCTGTCACTCCTCCAATATGTTCCAGTTTCCAGAACAACCTCTTATGGGTAACTGTTGAAAGCCTTTTTTAGGTCCAGATAGATGCAGTCAACCCAACCATCTCTTTCCTGTAAAATCTCTGTGGCTCGATCATAATAACTGAGTAAGTTCGTTACACAGGACCTTCCAGATCGAAAACCATACTGTCTGTCTGATATTATATCGTTTTCCTCCAGGTGTTCTACCCATTTAGATTTAATTATTTTTTCCAATACAGTGGCACCTCGACTTATGATTGCCCCTACTTACGATAATTTCGAATTACGATGTAAATTTCATCGAAAAATGCGACTCGACGTCCGATGGTGTTGTCGACTTACGATATTTGTTGGTACACTTTCGGGTCGACCGAGCACGTGGTTCCCAGTCACGCGGCCGACCTGCCTCAGTTTACTACAGCTGCCCGCTTAGTGACGATCGTGCCTATAAGAAATTCTGCTTTTGTGGTGATTTTTCTGGGGGGAGCCCCTACTGCTCCCCGGAGCTATCCATGGCTGATATGGATACCCTAACTATTTTGCATCAGTCGATGTGGGTGGAGTTCTAGGCCTACCGGGGACCTCGAGCCAGAACCTGGCCCCCCTCAGAGAGGCACGGGGAGCTATGGCCCATAGAAATGCACATGTGATTTGGAGCATTCTATATCTGCCATCGACCGGGACAGGCACCCAGAAAGGTAAGCGCCACAAAACAAACCCCTATTCTGATTAACAACAAATATCGACAAACGAGTGGACAGAACTCCCCCAGGAAAACGAACTAACAAGCATGACGTCAAACGAGCCACGCCGCATGTCTGCGCAGCTCCCCATCCCCGGGAGGGGGAAGGGGGAGCCCCAGACCCCCGCGCCGGCGATCCCCGCCCTAGTTCCTCGGCTGATGGGATAATGCACGGTCGTGTGGCTCCAGCTCCAGTCTTGTCTCAGTGCTGTGACTTGTTTGCAGTGCTGCTCTTACGGTGGTCGTGTGAGCTGGGAGTAGTATTCTCAGGTACTCGGGCTGCATGTGCTTAGGGTCACCTTCCCTGAGTGCCTTGTAAGTATCGCCCTTGGGGCTTGGGGTTGCCTTCCACAAGTCACCTTGGGTCTGCCTCTGTTGGCTTTTTGCTGCTTGGCGTTTGGCCGCCCCGAGGGTTTGGGGGTTTTACTCCCTTGTTTACCTTGGGGTAAGTGGTAGTTATAGCACTGGTGGGGCGCAGGGTACTGCGTAGCTAGTTTTCACCTATGACAGCGGCCGGCTCTGTTCCCTCTGGGTACGTTGTCCACTTGTGTGGT